CAGAACCAACAGATGATCAACATTTAAAATTTNTGGAATCCGTCCAATCAGATTGCAGCAGAGGTCAAAGGCCAGCGCGCGCTCAGGAAGTCTGGTGACGACGAGGCGACCTGGTTCTGATCCAGCAGCAGCAGCAGCAGGCGGCCGTGAGAGACTCCTGCAGGATTAAAGTTAACGTCCATCTGCACCGACGCTGCTGCTGCTGCTGTCCTGGTTCTGGGTCAAACATCCTCCAGAGGAGAAGATCAACCAGACTCACATCCTCACATCAGGAAAATCTTATTGTTTTTCCTGCAAAGTTACCAAAAAATAATATATAAGATTAGATAAAAAATTATTCTGCCAGATTTCACTCAGAAATAAAATGATAAATGCAGCGTCAAGTAGAAATGCATTAAGATATAAGTAAGATGCATTTCTGAAAAAAAGAATTAAACTGAATTAAGACGAGAATAGAAAAACAATAAGCAATTAGTGTTCAACATGATAAAATACTTTAAAAATAACAAGTAAAATCACAGATAAAAGCATTAATTTAATTTAATTAATTCTAAGAAAACAGGTTAAAACTGTAAATAAAGTCTTTGTTGTTTTATATCGTGTGACTGTAAAACTACACTGTAAATGCTGCATTTAAATGCAATAAAAATTTAATTATTTTACAGGAGTTTTCAGTTATTTTCACAGTTTTTTACATTTTTTAAATGCCACCATATTTCACAGTTGTGTAAAATATTTTTTCCGTCACTCTCGCTGCCAGAGTTTCACCATGTTTTTTCTTTTAACATAATTTTTTTTATTATTATTGTTATTATTATTTTACCGTGTAATGAGGAAATTTGAGTTTAAACTACAAACAACATCAAGTTGATGCAACATTATTAAGTCAGAACAACTCATCAGCATAATGTTTGCACCTCAAAGGTTTATGCAAACCAACAAATAAAGACTTGAAGAAAAAAATCCACAAAACACTAAAAAAAAGTTCTTTTATCAGAACATTCAGCAGCCAGACAAACAGTCACATGTCTGGTTTCACATGATTCCCTTCAATTAAAAAACAAAATGACTGAATAGAAGCGTTAACGGCTGAAGGATCAGTTCAGGTCACTCACCTGCGATCAGGAGGGGGCGGAGCCAGAGCAGGTCACCTGAGGCAGAGAGGAAACAACAACAATAAATAAATAAAGCTTATTGTAGCAGACAACAGGTGTTCTAATAAATTAATTTATCTTTTATTTAATTATCAGCCAACAAACACAAAACAATGACTTTTACCTTCACTGTAAAACATTTGAAGTGAATTAAACTTCTACTTTTCTCGTCCCTTCAACTTCCTCCTCGACATTATTAGCGTTAGACTAAAAATGACTTTATAAAATTTGCCAGAAATACAAACTTTTGTACAGAATCACTGTGATTACATCCTTAACACTTATAAACTCCCTTTAAACAACATGTAAATAAAAGTTAAAACAACTTAATTTTTAACTTGACGACTCATGTTTACACTGAAAATCATTCCGTTTTAGAAACACTCTGATTGTAGAGAAAACATGATTCCACAAAATCAGTGTCGCTTGTTGGTTGAATTTAATTTCATTAGCAGTTTGTCTGAACTTAACAAGATTTAATGTTTTTTAGAGGAGTTGTTAAATTGTTGTTGTTGAGTCCAGACATTAATGATAAAGTGTAGTTTGTTATAAATGTGTAATTATCTGGAGCACACGTGTGGTTCACTTCAGAGGCTCGTCGGGTCACCGATGACCCATTAGTTCATTAAAGAGAAGAAACGTGTTTGTTAAGTGGAGCGACGGAGCAGATGTGACGACTGCTGAGCCTCCACTGAGTCCGATTAAGGCTGGAGGTCAACAGGTGGTGCAGCTCTGCAGCTCTGCAGCTCGACTGACGGAACAACAACAACCTGAAGGAGGAAACCCTGAAGTCTGAAGTCGTTATAGAGTAAAGTAGTAATAACAATAATAACAATAATAATAATAATAATAATAATAATAATAATAATAATCTGTATTTCATATATTAATGTTTCAGAGATTTAAAGTGATTCACAAGGAGGCAAAAAAAAACGGGGAAAAAACACAATTTGGTGTTTAAAAGGTTCTGAAACATACTGGACACCAGTATAAAGAGGCCAAAACATACTGGGAACCATTATAAAGACCTTAAAACATACTGGGAACCATTATAAAGACCTTAAAACATACTGGGAACCATAATAAAGACCTTAAAACATACTGGGAACCAGTTTGTAGATGCTGAAACATAGTGAAAACCAGTAAAAAAAGAGGTTAAAACATACTGGGAACCATTATAAAGACCTTAAAACATACTGGGAACCATAATAAAGACCGTAAAACATACTGGGAACCAGTTTGTAGATGCTGAAACATAGTGAAAACCAGTAAAAAAGAGGTTAAAACATACTGGGAACCAACCAACCAACCAACCAACACTAGAGGAGGCAGGAAATACACAACTTTAAATAAAACCAACACAGAGACAAAGACACACAGCCAGTTTCTATCACGTCTGTTTTCTCAGACGACACAGAACAACAACCTCTGAGGAGTTTTAACTCTAACAATGAACACGTCTGTTTCTGTGTTTATTATGGACTTAATTTAATGAGTTCGTCATGTTAAGCTCACGTCTTAAGAACTGATTTTACAGGTTTAAATGCACTGAAAATATAAATGAGGACCATTTAAATTCAGTTAACTTAAAAAAAAGTCACATATTTATAATCAGTAAACCAGAAAAGATGAGTTCATTTGACTGAACGCGTCGGAGCAACTTCATTTTTATACATTTGTAAAAATAATAGAAAGTTTTGTTTGTAAATGTTTAAATACTAGTTAGAAAACCTTAATGTTTAATAAGAAATCAACTTTAAATTGTCTATTTTTGCTAGTAAATTATGAAGAAATGCCTTTGATTCCACAAACTTCATTTAACTTGTTGGTTGAACTTAATTTCATTAGAAGTCGTCTGAACTCAAAAAGATTGATTCAAACTATTTATTTTCTCATTTTATTTAGAAACCAAGAATCACTAATCCATCCTGAAAACAGTTCAAACAGAGCGAGCGTTTATTTACGTTTCTGGTGAGGTTCTCCAGAGTTGAGTGAATTTATTCGTCCTTGAAGGAAACAGCGTCTCAGCGAGTTTATCCTTCTGCTCGAAACCAAACCAGAACTCTGCTTCCTTATTCGTGGAACTTTAAGAAGAAGTTCCAGCAAAACTCAACTTGAAACTTTCTTATTTCTGGATTCAAACATCTGAAAAGGTCGTTTATTTCTCTGAATCTGCTGAGATGTGAAGAAAAATGCTGCCTGGAGTTCATGTAAGTTAATGTTTATTTACATGTAAACAACTGGTCTTCATGTCAAGTTTTTTTTTTAGCAGCCTTGTCCTCCGTCTCATCAGTAAAATAAACCAGAATGCGCCATGTTTAGGTCCATCCGGTGGCATTCTGACTAACAAACATACAAACTCCATCTACTATATATACACACATATATGACTCCAGCAGCTGCTGTCGTGTAAAATTAAATCTGAGCGACAGCAGCTGCTCTGAAACAGACGATCAACACTTGCTGCTTCTCCTCCACATAAATAAAACTGGATTTTCTAGAATTAATATTTTTTTAAAAAATCATCCACAAATGTCACATCTCCAGATAACTTCAGTTAAAACAAACGTTTAGAAGCTGTTGCTCAGGTTATATGGAGCTGATGCTGATCTAATAAAGTTATATTTCTGATGTTGTTGTTTCTGCGTTTCACTGAGGTTTTAGCTGCTTTAATATATTTAATGAAGCAAAGTTCATCCTCTGAATATGATCACAGTTACAGGCCCGTGAAGTGCATAGAGGAGGCCCACATTTTGCAGTTTTAATTTACTTTTTCCATCATTAATGAGCCTCGTAACTTCATCAGTGCAGCAGATAGACTCATGAAATGTTCAGGGCTTGAAAACACATTTGAGTCCTGCAATCAGATCAGTTTTACATCCATCCAGGCGTCACAATATGAAGTCTAGATCACTTTTTTCTTCTTCTTTCCACCCAGAATCAACTTTATTGGCCAAGTTTGTACATGCAAACAAGGACCGGTGAGGCTCAGCTCTGTGTGTAAGAAATAAACAAGAACAACACAAATAAGAGACGCAACAAATAGCCGTATTTACAGTGTTTATAATCTGTGTAAATACTAACTTTGAGCCTCAGTATGATGACAACAGAGTTAAAATATGACTTCTACATGAGTGCATTTATTTTGCCCCAGAAGGAATCATGTCTAGAAGTTTATTCTGGTATCAAACGTGTGTAAAAATTAGATTTTTCATTGTCTAGAACTTGTTCTGACCAACAACCATCACACATGCTGATGAAAGTTTACCCAGAATGCACTGGTGTATCATCAGGAAACACATCCAGGGTACCAGTGATGGTTCCTACGACTCTAAGTCATAGATGTCAAATTTGTTTACTATGATATATCCCATAATGCTGATGCTCAAAGTTACTTTTAGAGAAAAATAAAGAAAAAAAAAGCAGGTTTAGTGTTTAGATGTGACACCTGGATGGATGTAAAACTGCTCTGGCTGCAGGTTTAATTGAATTTAAATGTGTTTTTAAACCCTGAAAGCATCATGTCTTTATCTGCTGCACTGATGAACTTATGAGGCTCAGAAATGAAGGAAAAAGTTTTTAAAAAGCAGCAAAACTTTGCATTATTTCACTTTAACACATTTATGTGTATTAAAGTGACTGCAGGTGAAGAAGCAGCTGGTTCCGACGCCCCTCAGGTACTCAGGTGTCTCCCGCCCTGACCCAGATGTCCTCAGTAATCTGATTACTTCCCACAGTAACGTGACCTCACGTGTGTTTTCTGACGACGCTTCGGCTCGGAGTTGCAACATCGAGGCCCCGCCCCGCCGCTGACGTCACCGGCGGGCGGAGCCAACCAGACAAACAGAGCCGGAGTCGGTTCGAGTCCTCACACCGAGTCCTCACCAAGTCCCGGCCGTCTGAGTCCGGCTCCGGAGTCCTGCCGAGCACCGGTGACCCGCTCACACCGCACCGGATCCGAACCGCGTCGCCCGACAGCTCCGCGCGGCCGACCCCCCACCGCCCCCCTCCAAGCCGAGCCGCGCGCCGCTCAGACCGGACCCGAGGACCGGAGGGAGCCGGTGCGACCGTCTTTGTTCGCCGTGACCCGGATCTGCTCACCAGAACCAGAAACGAGCTCTGTTTGGACTTTTCTTCACTCCGCGGTTCGACTTTTGTTCTGAGTTCTGATCCGGAGCGAAGCAGAAACAGAAGAAGCTCAACAGCTGACTGACGACACGTTGCGCAACTCAGACAATAAGCAGCAGACAAAGACGTCAGAGCTCCCAGTAGCACCAGTAGCACCAGTAACCCCCCCAGGAACACCAGGAACACTGCTGCTGCTGCTCCCAGTACAAGCAAACCTGCCGCTGGACTGTTTCCAGTAACTTCCACTGGTTTCCATTTGAGCTGCAGTTTGGACCAGTTTGCCAAAAGTGAAGGTAAGAAACTCCTAGAAGTGAATAGAGATGCCCAAATACAGAATTTAACTGTAAAATATGAAACATTTAAACAGGAAAAGTGCTTTTTAAAGTCATTTAGTTGTTTTTTTATAGTGAAAAATGTCGTTTCTTGTAATAATAAACATAAAAACTGATGATTTTTACTGTTCACATGAGTCACATGGAGGATTCGGCACCAATCTGAACCAAAAAACTAACTTTTTCTTTAAGTGCAGGACTTCTAGGGTCAAAAAAATCTAAATAAAACAACAGATGTCCATCCAAAGTGCTTTCTAATAATAAAAAAGCTCATTATTGGTTCTATAAATGAACCTACATGTGTAAATATTGAGGTTCAGAGCTACAGTGTTGTTTATAAAGTGAATTTACCTTAAAAAAAAAAAAAAAAAAGACATTTGAGATGAAAACCCTGCAAAACAGTTTCCATTTTCCCTTTACCTGACTATGATGTGTATTATAGTCCCTACAGTGTCATTACTCATAGAGGATGTTGTGACTGATTAAATACACATGAACCAACGACTATGGGCGCATTACAAGATAAGAAAATTAAATAAAATACTAAAACAATTTATAAAACCGTGTAAATAAGAAGGCAGAAAGTATTAAAACTGTATTACATTGTTAGATTTTGTACCAATAATTTAAAAATCAGTGATAATAACGTTACAGTGAAGTCAGAATCTGATTTCTTTTAAACTCGTCGACTCTTATGAAGTCGTTTTATGTGATATTTAACATTTCTGTGGCATTTAAAGCAAAAAAAACTTCAAAATTTGACAATAAGTTAATTTATGTCTGCGTTTGTTTGGACTAAAGTGACTCCTGATTTTAATTTCAGTTTCATTATGAGAACAATTCCCTCAGTTATGTAATTAAAACGTGTTCACCTCCAGTGGCCTCACTGTGTACATGTCATATTAAAATTATGCATATAAAAAAAGATAAATAGATGTTGTTTTAACATTTTTTAAGCACAGATCTTTTAAACTATGTATTTATTGCTCAATTGTGCCAAATCTGTGCTCGTGAAAGGTGTGAAAACTCTTCATTATTTTAATTTTTGTGTTGTTTTTGGTGCTTTGTGTCTGGATTCGGTGAGAAAGGCGTCGGTAAAGTGGATCTTTTTAACCTGGATTATATTTACTGATGCATTTAAGTGTCTGATGAAACTTAACGTGGATTTTTATACAGAAATGATGCTGCACAGTGTTTGATTACAGTCAGAACAGCGAGTAAACGGTTGATTGTTTTCCTGAGAACGTACCTGGACATGAAGTAAACTCTCTAAACAGTCCTCTTACCTGCTTTATCAGTTTTATAACTTCATCAGCTGTTGAGTTAAATCAGTAGCTGCTGCTGCTGTTTGTTGGAGTTTCTGCTGATCGGATGTGATGAAACTCTCGTCATGCAGCAGAAAACTTTGGGGAAAGTTCGTAAGACGACCTTGAAGGAGGAACAAACGGGAGTCAGAGGCGACAAATGCCTGATTTAAATTGTGATGCAGGATTACAGCGGGCTGAGTAAAATATAAAAACAACACTGGATCAAACACGGCCGGATCAGAGGATTAAATCAGAACTAATGTGAGTTGTAACACGTGCTGGTGACGCGCTGACAGTCAGACGGACGATGAACTGTCCAAAGAACTCTTTGATGAAACAAAATCGTGTTTTCCTTTTAATTAAACAAACAAAAATCACTAAAATTAAAGCATTTATCAAAACTAGAAACTGTAAAAACGGAAAAAATCTGCACATTTTAAGCTTTACCACACTATTTGAGCTTTAGATATACGACGTGCTTCTCTGTCGGTAAAATTAGCCGAATCTGAGCTTAAAGTTGCCATATTTTGTCATTTTATTCTCATTCAACAGCAGTGAAGTCGTTTACGTTAAACAGTCACGTGACAAAGATTCATGGACTTATCGGCTGAACTGCAGGCAGTGTTTAAACAGAGCATCCTTTTTTTTTTTTTATAAAACCAGTTAGTAACGCAGACGGTGCAAAATGCTGGACTTTTTAATGTGAGGTTTTTCCCAATTTTGTAAAATAAACAATCTTAATCTTAAGAGGATAAAAACTAAAAATATTAACATAAGAAGAAAAATATGATCTAAAAATATAACCGTGAGTGAAAAATTATGTCTTAAATGTAAAAACACAAGTACAATCAATATAAGCATCAATTACGGAGTAGTGAGAGCACCAAATTACAAAAAGAACAATAAAATGAAAGTGGAAATAAAAAGAAGAATAAAGAAAATAAAATAAAAAATAATTTTAAAAAAATTAATCCATAAAAGAAAAGGATAATAAAAGTAGAAATATAGACAAATAAATAAAATAATTATAATAATTAATTTTATTTATTCTTCTTTTTATTTCCACCTTTATTTTATTATTCTTTTATTGATCTATTTTTATAATGTGGCACTCTACTACTCCACAATAAATGTAAATTGTGCTTTTCCTAGTTAAATAAAGTGTCACTTGTAATTACCTGTGCTGACACCTGGTTTTATTCGGGTTGAGGAACACTGTTCTGGTGGATTCTGGTGTTTCTTAACCATGTGAGCTCTAGCTGGAGGTCATTAAGCGTCTCATTAGTCTCTGTCTTGGTGCTCTGCTGCTCGCTAAACTCCCACAATCCTCTGCTGCCTGCAGCCTGAGCGACGCCTCCTCTGGCTGCTGCAGGATTAAACCAGAAACTACTGCAGCTGATCTACAACGAGTTTTCTAAAATCTTCGTCCTTATTGGTAAAATGATTAACGATTATCAGTTCAGATTGTTTTATTCTGATCAAGTTTCCTTCTGGGTTCAGTTTTATCTTGAACTGATTGATGGTGAACATGATGAGCAACAAGAGGACAGATGAACCCGATACGTTCTCTGTGCTCACAGTCGTCTAACTTTAAGTAAAACCTCAATAACTTCTGGCAGAAACTCCGTCAGCAGCAGCAGCAGCAGCTCGTCTGTTCTCAGCGACACGAACGACAGGTTTTGCTTTTTGTGCTGAATTTCACATTTTGTGTTTCTGTCAACAGTCACATGTGCGATTGTGAAACTACAGCTGATCGCAGAGCGACGGGGAAACCACACGGATTCCCAGCGTGTGTTACTGTGTGTGTGTGTGTGTGTGTGTGTGTGTGTGTGGGTGGATGACGTTGCCCCGGTGACACTGTGACTCAGGCAGAGTGAAAGCAGCACAGCGTCACCGCGGCGACCACAGACTCTGACTAACTTCACACACACACACTCTGGGTTGTTGACTGTATTTAAGGCCTGTTTAAACTATAAACTGTTGTGCTCTGATGCAACCGTCTGAAAGCCGAGGCGCCCGTCAGCTTACAGGAAGTTGCATCATGAAGCCTATAGACACATCGGCGCTGTAACATGTGAGCAGCAGCAGCAGCCACAAGTGATGCTCGGCTGAATTCCTCCGACTGTAAATAACAGCGAGGGGGCGTCTGCAGGGGGCGCTGCAGTGTGGTCAGTTTGCACCTGTCGCATGTATACTCACTGTGGGTTCAAAGTTGAATTTCTTTGATTTATTTGACAAAAATGTGGGGAAAAAAACCCAAAAATAAACATTTCAAAAGAAGTGTTGATCACAGCTGAGTTGGTCACAGCACCAGGGAGAGCTTTTTATACCAGCTTTTGTTTTTTTACAGAGTTTTCTAAGTGCAAATGGTTTATTTTTGGCATTAAAAAAAAAAAAGTGTAGAATAAAGTGACTTTCATGAAGGTGGATTCGGTTAAAAGCACGTCACAGATGAGAAGTTCAAGAATTGAAGTTTAACCAACACTGGGGGGAAAAAGCTATTGAGACTCTACATACTAATGATATTTAACTATTTGCAGCTTTAATTAGTTTCCGTATTTGACTCCTCTCTGCCTGCAGTTCAGCCGAAAACACTCAGAGCTCCACAGCTGCACAGAGGAGCTTAAAATCTGTATTTATTTTACTAAATCTGGTCACAGAACACTGTTGAGTTTAGGCAAGTTTTTAAATGAGACACGTAGAAGTAAGTAACTCCAAAGGAACAACACAGAAGTTTAGTCTGAGAACAACCAGACAGCTGAAGATACAACAACACGTTCTGTTTTTATAGCTTCTAGTTCAGATAAATGGTGTAATTCTCTAAGAGACTGACATACTTCTCAAACCAGATGGCAGGTTTTAAGAACACCACCTGCACCTGTTTTTTATTTCAGTAAAGAAAAAGAAGTCTTATTTAACCTGATGATGTCACTTGTCTCCTCCAATCACAGATGAGCATGGGCGTGGCCACCACCAGGTCTCAGGTGTGTCTGAAGCGGTTGCTGGACGAGCCCCAGGACGGTTTGCTGAAATGCAAACGGGCCCGCGTGGCCCCGCCCCCTCCCTCCGTCGGCCTATCGCCGTGTCTCAGGCACACGAGCCCCGCCCCCAAGCCCAGCCAGAGCCAGTCGCCATCCAGAGTGGGACCGTACCTGCTGTACGAGCGCTGCGAGAAGGAGGAGACCTACAGGGCCGTGCACGTGCACACGCAGCAGCAGTACACCTGCCAGGTAGCGCACACCTGGACTCTGAGCAGAATTAGAAGTATCTGACTGTTTTTAAAAAAGGCTAATGATCCAAACAATACCACTGATGTTAGTAGTGATGATGTCATGAAGTGTACGCACAAACAGTAGTGTCCCTGTTGCTATGTTACCCTGACCGCTCCTCCCGGTTGCCGTGGTTACAGGTCCTCCCTCTGCGCGGCTACCAGGACCGTCTGGCAGCCTACGACCGCATCGGTCACCACGACAACGTGTGCGGCCTGCTGGACGTGGTGGTCGGCCAGGACAGCGTGTACGTCTTCCTGCCCGGTCACCACGGCGACATGCACGCGTACGTGCGCAGCCGGAAGCGTCTCGGCGAGGAGGAGGCGGGGCTCCTGTTCACGCAGATGCTGAGCGCCGTGATGCACTGCCACCGCCACGGAGTCGTCCTGAGAGACCTGAAGCTGCGCCGGTTCGTCTTCACCGACAGATACAGGTGAGGCTCAGGTGGTGGTTCTGATCCTGCTGAGTACCACAGAACATAGAGAACACTACAGAGAAGTGCTGAGCTAGCAGAACTTAAAGGTACCATCACAGGAAGCAGTCTGTTCTGGTCTGGTTCACCACGTTGTCTGTTGTTATAGAGCAGGGGTGTCCAATCCTGGTCCTCGAGAGCCCCTATCCAGCATCTTCCAACACACCTGATTCACATGATCAGGATCGTTATCAGGCTTCTGCAGCGCTTGATGATGAGCTGATCATTTGAATCAGGTGTGTTGGAAGATGCTGGATAGGGGCTCTCGAGGACCAGGATTGGACACCCCTGTTATGGAGGCTAAATGATTAATTATTGGCTCTGAAAATGGAGAAAAATGCAAAAGAATTTTAAGCAAATGTAGCACAGAAAGTCCCAGTAAGTGTGTATACATGTACGTATCCATACTTTCTACTAAAAACACAGCCTGTGGTCGACATTTCACCAACTTCTGAGGCCTCTAATATCAATAGAAACTGATTTGTGGCAAGTTTTGCAAAACAAGGTCCCAGTTTTTGGACAAATTGTTGTCGTGGACTCATCCTGAGGACCTTAAAACTGACATCAGAGGCCTCAAAAGTTGGTGAAATGTCGACCAAACACTATTTAAAGAAGGAAACATGGATACATTCATATATATGTACACTTAGAGGAACTTTGAGGCCTCGACACCAACCTCACTTGAAAACTTTATTCCATTTTCAAGGCCAATAATTAAAACGTTGGATCTGTTGGAAACTCCTCTGCCTCTGTCTTCACTACATGTCACAGCTGTAGGAGTTTGTTTGTGGACATGCTGAAGCCTTAAAACGGCTTCACGGGGATTGTTTTAGGGTGAACATTGAACGACCTGAAGCCGCCTCCTCAGACAGAACCGCTGCTCTCACTGCTGCTAAACGATGTTCAGAGGAACTAAAGTTTGGTTTCGTCCTGCAGGACTCGTCTCGCTCTGCTCGGCCTCGACGACTGCGTCCTCCTGCGCGGTAACCACGACGACGACTCCCTGACGGACCGGCACGGCTGCCCCGCCTACGTGGGCCCCGAGCTGCTGACCAACGGCGGCGGCTCGTACTCGGGCCGGGCGGCGGACGTGTGGAGCCTGGGCGTGTCCCTGTACACCATGCTGGTGGGCCGCTACCCCTTCCAGGACACGCAGCCCGCCGCGCTGTTCGCCAAGATCCGCCGCGGGGCCTTCAGCCTCCCCGACTGGCTGTCGCCGCAGGCCAAGTGCCTGATCGGCTGCATGCTGAGGAAGTCGCCCGGCGAGAGGCTGCAGGCGTCCGAGCTGCTGCTGCACCCGTGGCTGACCAATCCCTGCGCGCCGCATCACAGCGCGCCCAAGATGCAGCAGAACTCGGCGCTGCAGCGGAAACACGAGGACGAGGACGACGGCGGCGACCAGGTGGTGCCGACGTGGAGCGACGGACAGTCATGAACACACCTCCACGTCCATCCTCGTCAGAAGCTGAACTGCTGTAGTGAATCTTCACGTCCTGAAACCAAAACCTGGTTCAGACTTTAGCTGCAAGTCTGAACCCTGAAACGGACCTTTAACCCTCTGAACCCCGACACCCGCTGCCAGGTTGGAAAGGTGTGTTTATATTTAAGAAAAACCACCAAGACGACACCATTCATCAGAACTGTAGGGTCCTTGAACTACTCACGTGTTGCACCATCAATGGAACCAAATCTAAGCTTAGAATTGAGATATTTCATCAAATATTCACCAAAAACAAACCATTTATCCAAAAAAACTTCTGTAAAAAACAAAAAATTCTGAGCTCCACAGTGCAGCTAACGAGCTGCGTCTGACGTAACTGTGACCAACAGTCGCAGGACAAAAAATCAGGGATTTTTCCAACACATCTTGGAAAATGTTGGACATGTTGATTCCAGGTGTGTCCAATCGTGAAGCCTCGTTCCGTTGGGAAACTTTTATATATCTGGGCTTAAAAATTGAGATATTTCACCAAATTCTCTTTATTCTAAACGTCGCATTAAAAAAAAACAGTTTGCATTAAACAGTTTAAAAAAAACACTACATTTGAGCTCCTCAGTGCGACCAAGACGCCACGAATGACTCAGTTGTGATGCAAAAATTAGCAAGAATTCTGGGATGTTTAACTCCAGGCTGTGTTCACAAGGAGCAAACTCATTAAAACTATAAATAGTTAAATATCTACAGCATGTAGAGCCACCATTTGTTTTTCCAATGTTGGTAGCACCTGTGAAAAACGCTGCACATGTTGATTCAATATTTTTTCGACCCTTGAGCTGGTCGTCTGAGACGTCTCGAGACATTTCATTAGAATTTTTTTTTCTACATCTCGCTTAAACACTTAAAAATAAAGTTTGCATTATCAAGTTTCTGTTAAAGAAACCTCTAAATTCAGAGCTCCTCAGTGCAGCCGCTCAGACAGAAATTCAGAGATTGTTTTTTTTTTTTTTTGGCTGAACTGCAGACGGTGTGTACGAATATGAAAACGAATTAAAAATATAAATAGTTAAATATCTACAGCGTGTAGCTACAGCCACCGTTTATGTGTCTAGTGTTGGTAGAATCTGTGGACGCTTGGGGAAAAGTTGGGCTTGTTGAATTCAGGTTTTTGAAATCCTTGAACTGGTCATTTAGTTCATCATTCTACTTGTTGCATTAAAAACACACTTTGCATTAACCAAGTTTCTGTAAAAACGCTAAATCAAAGCTCCTCAGTGCAGCCGTGAAGCCACTCAGCTCAGACCGACAGCAGCTGGAGGTGCCGAAAAAGATCCATTATTTCTTTAAATTTCAGTATCATACATAAGAAACTCAGCTGTCATTCTCTTTCCTCCTTCATTCTGTTTCCAAAGAGGTGCAGGACTTTATATTTATAAAAAAAAAATGTAAAAGGATCCAACAAAGAAACTTCCTGGAGTTCAGAGGGTTAAAGCTGCCAGTCCACACAGTCCAAACCTCGTCGGCCGACCGACCGACACACGAAGCAACCCAACAGAGACCGTCTGATCCTGGATTACTTGACCCTCAGGTGCCTTCATCCTTCTGTAGCTGTAAACTCAACGAGGTCTGAACCTGCTGCTCCTCCTCCTCCAGAAGTTAACCAAACTCCAGCAGGACCGACGGTGCGTTCAGGTGCACCGCGTCGACGCACGAAACCCCCCCGATCTGTGCCAATCAGGTTGAAAGGTGCATGCGCCCCTCTGAAGTCCAGCAGGATTTCTTCCACGTCACAGACTGAGCTGCACGGTTTCATTTTTCATAAAACTCCTTCTTAAAGACTCTTTTTCTCGCTGCTGAAAGTTTGACTGTGAAGCGTCACTTTCTCGCAGCTTCCAAAGAAAAGGAATCCGATTACTTCCCCGCTGCATGTTTACACGGATTCACAGCCTGTGTGTGTTCAGGGCGTCTAATTGAAATGTGCTTCTGCTGTGATGAACGAGAGCAAACAGTGGAGTCTGGGTGGGTTTTCTTAGATTTAAAGAGATGATGAAGACACCGTCTAATTAAAAACGTGTATCCTGGAGCTTCTTCTCTCACCGTTTACACTTCTGGTTCTTCCCCGACGTCACCAGCGAGTTTTCTGGAACTAACGTGCCGAGCAGAGACTCCTCTCCTCGTCCTTCACACCCCTCGTCTCAGGACTAATTCACTAATTTGTTCTAAATTCTAGTTTTGTGGTGCTCATTTAAAAAACAAAAAGAAAAAAAAAAAGCACCCCAAATTATTTTTGTGTAGTTTTGAAATCTATTTAATTTTTTCTTAATATAAACCGATGATCCACTGATATTTTTATACGACATTTAATCCTCCTGCAGGGTTCTGAAGGCTTTACAAAGGAGTTATTTATCAGCCACAAACTGTAAAAACAGAGTTACTGGATTTAACGGCTCTTCAACTGCTCAGCTGAAAAATCCAAGCTTAAAATTGTGACGTTATCTCATTAAGAAATTGGCCCAAAAAAAATAAACGCTTTCCTCGAACTAGATTCTGTAAAAAACAAAAAATTCTGAGCGTCTTGGTGGAACCGTGAAGCCGTCACTGACTCGACTGAGACCCACAGTTACTTTATGATAATTCAGAGTTGTGGGCTGAACTGCAGGCGGTGTTCACGCAGAGCAGAGAGGAGACCTGTCTGATGTCAGCAGTACAACGTTTGGATAGAGAGATTTTAGTTTTCAGTATTTTCCAGTGTTGCTAACACATGTGGGCACTTGTTCATTTCTGGGTTTTTTTTTTCCAATTTTTGTAAAATAAATATTCAACAAAAATCCGCATTTGTTTCTGGTTTCTGTCGTTCTAACGGTTGTTGTTTCCATGGAGCTGCAGGACTTTATGTTGCCCACGGTGAGTGAAAATGTGGCGGCAGCGTGACAGAAGCGTCCAGAAATAACAGCCGTTTGTTGTTTCTGCTCCGTCGGTGCAACAGTTTAATCTCAGGGTAAAGGACGAGCGCCACTCGTTGACTCGTATTAAGAAATAATGAAGTGATGCTCCTGAGATAACCGGACTAAAAGCATTCACCCGACTGCTGACCAATCGCCATCCAGCACACATGCAGCCAGCCAACAGGACGCCTCCGAACGTGATTCAGAGCTCAGTAACAGCTGGAGAGGAAATATTTCAAAGCTGTTTAGGTCCCACACTGGTTGTTATCATCATTGCTTTTAACTCCTGCCTGCATTTACAAGCAGGCGCTATAAGAACTGCATGCGGTGTGTATGTTTTACACTTTGGTACAAACCAAGTATTTCAAAATATATATATAAAAAAAAAAAAAAAAAAAAAACATCAGCACTCAGCACTCGACAGGCCTCCATAAGTTTAAAAGTGATGTGAAAATGTTCTCTGGTGCTACGAAGTCAGAAAAAAACCTGTCAAGCTGCACTCGTCGCCAGTTTTCCTCATAAGAATAAGAATTCAAACCACAGAGAGAAGCAGCAGGAGCCATAACTGCTAATGAAGAGTCCAGACAGAAGGAAGACTTCAGGAGAACAGCAGCGTTTCACCTTCACGTTTTATTGTTAAATCCATCAGACAGCAGAATGAATCCTGAGACTCTGTCCGTGGCTTCGGTCAGACCTCTGAGCCGTCACCTCCCTCCAACATCCACTTCACACCAAAGGCTGACCGAACACCAGAGCCTTTCTCTGTCTTCGTCTGAAACATCTAAACTGTCCCTCGTGTCCGTTAGTGGGTCACCCGGGGAGTCGGCCAATCAGGAGCCGGTGTCCATGTCGTCGGCGTCGTCGGCCTCCGAGCGGCAGATTTCCTCCAGCGCCAGCTCTGACACACAGACGGGTAGATAAA